TTCTGGAGGTGCTGGCGAGGGGAGGTCTGACGCTGCTGGGGCCTCTGGTGCTGACGTCGCCGACTCGGGGGGTGCTGCGGCGGAGGGTGCTGGTCCAGGTGCTTCTGGTGCTCCGGGTGCTGGAGGTGCTGGCGGAGCTCCGCCGTCGCGCCTGTTCTTCGCTCCTCCGTCGCCGTCGGCTTTGCCGCCGCCTGACACGGTGCTTCGCCAGGTTCTTTCCCTCCCGTCTTCCACTGGCCTTCCCCTTCAGCCTGGCTCCCCCCTCCCTGCTCCTGTGCCTTACACTGCACAGCCGGACTCGCTTACGGAGCGTCGTGAGCCTGCGTCTCGTCCTGCCTTGCCTGTTCGCGCTGCTCGCGCTGCTCGCACTGCGCGCACTGGTCCCACTGGTCGTCGTGTCGCGCGTCCGCGTCCTCCTCCTGTTCCTGGCACGCATATTATGGCCCTTCGTCCTTCCACTGGTCCACAGCGTGTCCCCCTACCGTCTCCTCCTGCGTCTTCTCTTCCTGACGTTCCCGACCCTGAGTCTGACAGTGTTCGTGCTGCCCACCCTACTGTTACGCGTCTTCTCGCCACTGTTGTCACTGACCCGTCGTTTGAGTCTGCTGCTGCGTCTGCCCTGGTCGCTGAGCTTGTCGACTTTGCTGCTGCCTGTCGTCTAGACTACGCCGCCAGTCTTGTTGCCGGGTCTGAGTCTGTCTGTCCTCCGTCCGTCGGGGGTGAGTGTGCTCTTGGCACGGACGTCCTTGAGGACAGGCAGGAGGACTTTGACTCTCTTGCGGCTGCTGTACCTCATCTCGTGGCCTGGTTGCTTGCCCCTGAGGGAGACCCGGATGCACTAGACATCCCCACTCCGCGCTCTTACGCAGAGGCGATCTCGGGTCCCTACTCCTCTCAGTGGCAGACAGCCATGGACGCAGAGATGGCATCCAGGAAGTCCACAGGCACCTACGTCGACGAGGTTCCCCCTCCTGGGGCGAACATCGTCGATGGCATGTGGATTTTCATGGTTGCTCGTTACGTTGCGCCTGGGAGACACAGGCGAGAGCACTGGGAGGCTGCTAAGAGGGTGCTGCGTTACTTGTGCAGTACATCAGGCATGGGGCTGGTGCTTGGAGGACGCGACAGAGTTGTCCTCACTGGTCACTCGGACGCTTCTTGGGTGGACGACCTGGCTACGCAGCGGTCGTCACATGGTTACACCTTCAGCCTTGGCTCTGGTTCTGTCTCGTGGCGGTCCACCCGCTCTTCTTCTGTTCTCGGCTCTAGTTGTGAGGCTGAGATCTACGCCACAGCCATGGCTGCACAGGAGTTACGCTGGCTCACCTACCTGCTGACTGACTTGGGAGAGCGGCCTAATCTCCTCCAGTTCTGTACGGTGACAACAAGGCGGCCCTTGCCTTGTGTCAGGAGCACAGACTGGAGCACAGGACGAAGCACATTGCTCTTCGCTACTTTCTTGCTCGAGAGCTTCAGCAGCGCGGTCAGCTTCGGCTTGTGTACGTGGACTCGAAGGCCAATACTGCTGATATCTTCACCAAGGCGCTCCCGCCTAGTGATCATCAGCGGCACTGTACTTCTTTAGGCCTTGTGTCCACGTTTCCTCATTTGCTTACTGCTTGACTTTCTTTGTACTGTACTTTATATATATATCTTGCTGCTTGTCCTGTTCTATATCTAGCACTGCATGTGAACTGGCCTTGTGGCCTTTGCTTGTGCTCGGAGTGTGGTGACGTTGTGATCCACCCTGGGCTTTGCTTTGCTTTGCTGGACTGGTCTTGTGACCCTTTGTTCTCCCCCACTTTGCCTATGGGGGTTGTGTTAAACTGTATTATGTTGGTAGGCTGTAGTGGGGTAGCCAATATGGGGTACAACCCCAACTAGGGTTTGCTACTTGTACCCAATTCTTCCATTCAATGCACCATTCTTGCCTAGTTCTTTTGACATCCACCACCCATTCCACCATACCCACCCTTGCACCCATCCCTCACCCTTCCACTCTGTGCCTTACTCACTCCTTTGCTGTTTCTGTCCTTTGTTCACTCTTTGCTCTCTCTGTCCCTCTGCCCTTGCTCACCCATTTGCTGTTTCTGTCCTTTGCCCCATTTTCCCCTGCTCACCCTGCCCCTGCTACCACTCTCCTGGTTTCCCTCTCTGCCTCTCTGTTGCATTCCTTGTTGTCGTTCCCCTCCCATTCCGTCCTCTGCACGCGATCCATACCGCCTTTCACCATATGCTTCCCTGCTGCTCAGCCATCTCACATCTTATTTCCTGATTTGTGTTTGTACAGGTCCGCTATACATTATTGCTGGTGCTGTGGTGATGTGTTGGCTGGCAGTTTGATAGTACTATAATGACTCGCCATTCAATGTTTTGATCTTGGATGCTTTGTTATAATACAAACTCTGAGCTGAGGAGCAGCCCTGCACATGACCACTTCACAAAAGTGCAACAAAATTCACAATTGATTTCGACACAAAGAAGACAGCTAGGAAATGTAAGGTTTTCTTGTTTGATACACAGCATGCAACCTTGGCATGTGGTGCTGGGATCCTGGGACCTGTACACTGCGTGGTTGGAGATGGGGGTGAGTGAAAGGGGGAACAGAGCGAGCAGGGGGGAAGAGAATGAGCAGGGGGCTCAGAGAATGAACAGGAGGGGGATGGGAGGGGGATGGGAGGGGGATGGGAGGGGGATGGGAGGGGGGTGGGAGGGCGATGGGAGGGGGATGGGAGGGCGATGGGAGGGGGATGGGAGGGGGTTGGGAGGGGGACGGGAGGGGGATCAGAGGGGGATGGGAGGGGGAGTGGAGTGGGGACGGGAGGGGGATGGGAGGGTGATGGGAGGGGGATGGGATGGGGACGGGAGGGGGATCAGAGGGGGATGGGAGGGGGATGAAGTGGGGACGGGAGGGGGATGGGAGGGTGATGGGAGGGGGATGGGAGGGGGATGGGATGGGGACGGGAGGGGGATCAGAGGGGGATGGGAGGGGGATGAAGTGGGGACGGGAGGGGGATGTGAGGGCGATGGGAGGGCGATGGGAGGGGGACGGGAGGGGGGTGGTAAGTCGACGGCAGGGGAAAGCGAGGGCGACGGGAGGGGGAAGCGAGGGCGACGGGAGGGGAAAGCGAGCGCGATGGGCGGGGTGAAGCGAGCGCGATGGGCGGGGGGAAGCGAGCGCGATGGGCGGGGGAAGCGAGCGCGATGGGCGGGGGAAGCGAGCGTGATGGGCGGGGAAAGCGAGCGCGATGGGCGGGGGAAGCAAGGGCGATGGGCGAGGGACTGTGGCGACGGACGGTGGATGCAAGAGATCGACGGACGGGGGAAGCGAGGTCGACGACGCTCTAATTTCTCATCTCGTGCCGCGCTATATCTCCGTGCTTCACATTCGCATTCGCGCCACATTCCCTCCCTCGGTCCACGGATTCCTCTCGATTCCGGCATAATAGCATATATTTTCACAGGACATACCTAAATATATTACTCTGGATACTTACTAGTTTCCTAACACAGATGCTCTGCCTATCTGGACTTGCGCACGCTTCTCAGCCTGCCCCAAGGGTGCGTTTGCGGACTAGGCGATAATCTGGGTTGTGAGTCGCGTGGGGGTGGTTGGGTTTGATTTTGTTGTTAGTGTTTGTTCAAGTTTCTTGAAGCCGAAATTGAAGTTGCGATGCAGTGTAGAGCATTCCGCCTTCGCCACCTTCCCCCGGCGAATTTTTCTCTCGTCAAACTTCGCACAACCCTTTACAAGTTCAGTATTTATGAACCCTTGCCATTCTAGACGCGGGCTTTAAAGCTGCCCTGTGTGGATGTTGTTATTTAAACCCCTGGCCCCAGTGCCTCACAATTAGTTGCATATTTTCTTACTACGGTATTCGTGCTTGCAAATAGTTTCGTGCTGTGACCATTTGCGTGATTGTCTGCCATGACACAGTTTAGTGACTGAACGTATAAAGGAAAGAAACAAAGCCGTTTATTTCTGATCGTATTTTTGTTATCTCTCTCTCTTACGGTACAAAAAATGTTTTCGAGGCCCTTGTTTGTTGGCATGTCATACGGTATGTGTCCTTCGAGAAATACTATACAATTTGTTACTAAGAAGCCAGCATATACTTTCCCAATGATAAAAGTCGTCAGTTGATTCTATCGAAGCATTGATATGGCTGGCAGAAGCGGAGTGTCCAACCAGAGTTCTGTTCAAGTGCCGGCTCGTTGCTGACCGCGTGGTGTGGTGTCCCTCCCAACCCAACGGGGCGGTGCCCTGCGTAGGAATGCAACCTCATCCTCTAGAGCATGCTGCACAACTGATTACAGTAGTTACAATACTGCTGCCGATCATCCACCCCTGTGGGCAATGGCCTCTGCTTTGGTCCTTAGTTGTGCCTCCGAGGCGAAAGGCGGATGCATCTTGGGTGGTGGCGCGGCGCGAATGCATATTTGCTCAAGTATCCCCCGCCCAGCAATGCATCGGCATGGTGGACCCTGTTCCATGTCCGGTGCATAGCGGGACTCTTGCACGATTCATGCAGCATCGTTATTATTTGTCGATGTAATTTTTTGGGACGTCCACGAGACAAATTCCCGCGGAGTTAACAGGAGAACGAACTTCATTCCTCGGGTCATCAAACTGCGCACTTCATCATGAAGACAATGTATGACACATTGAGATAGACGATATCGTGTAGTTGAAACGAGTAACAGAACAGCTATCGATGCTCGCTTTCTTGGACGACCGTCGACCAGCCGCAAGCAATTTATCTCCACGCATAGCCAGAACGACCTTTCATCTCAGACCGGACGGAGAAACAGACTGACGGAATGACTGACAGGTAGACTGACAGTCAAATTCCGAGTAGCAGTTCGATGTAGGGAGCAAAGCGACAACAGCAACAAACGTCCTATCTGTCGAAAGCGGCAGTCGAGGCGACTCGGCTCAGCAGCACCATAGTCGTCGGCGCCAAGTGTCCCCTAGTTGCGATTCAACTGACGGAGGCGCGATGACGATATCCCCGAATTTAGAGCGGCAGCAGAAGCAGCCGCGAGCCGCGAATGCTGTGGCCGATCGGACCGTCAGCGATACGCCTTACTTGGACGATGTGGCGATTAGTTCCGGCGACATTTGCGAAAAGGGGGAAGGACGGTTGCTGCTCGCAGGGGCATGCGACAATCGCGAAAATGGCGGCGCATCGGTGGAAGAACCGACAGCCGTGGGTGATTGCGATGGCACCAATGCTGCTCCTGCTGCTGCTGCTGATGATATTCAGGATGAGGCGGAGGAGGAGGCGGAGGGGGTGGTGGAGGAGGAGGAGGAGGAAACAAGAGAGGAGGAGGCGGAGGGGGTGGTGGAGGAGGAGGAGGAGGAAGGCGAGGGAGGCGACGGAGAGCCGAGCCTGTGGTCAGCGTTGACGTTCGCATGGGTGGGTCACGCGGCGCTGCCTGCTCGGCTGGCTGCGGCCCGGTTCCATCTAAGTCACTTGCTTTCTTCCTTGCTTCCGTCGGCGTAGCGCAGGCAGCTTACCAGCGTGTCACGTGCCACTTCTTTCCCTTGCCTCTCATCTCCAATTCCGCCCCTCTCTCCTTCTTTTCCCCCCTCCCTCCCTTCCCCGTGCACAATGAAACCAACCAACCAATGCCGCGCGTAGGTGACCCCCATAATGCGCCTGGGCGCGCGCACAACGCTGCAGCTGGCGGACCTCCCCCCGCCTCCGCGCACCTGGCGCGCGGATTGGCTGGACGCGCAAACGGCGCGCATCATGGACGGGGAGCAGGGGGAAAGGGGGCGGAAGGGGGAGGAGCGTGGGGAAAGGGGGCGGAAGGAGGAGGAGCAGTGTGAAGGGGAACAGGGGGAAATGCGGAGGGGAAGCGGAAGCGGTCAGTTGGTGGTGTGGGGCGGATGGAAGGCGGGGGGCAGAGGGAAGTGGCCGTTTTGGGCGGCACTGTATTGGCCGCACCGGTGGGCGCTGCTGCTGCTCGCAGTGATGTTTCTCGGGGAGTCGATGCTGCATGTTGTCAAAGCCGTGCTGCTGTATCGCATTGTGAGTGCTCTATCTCGCATAGCGATTGCTGCCGTATCGCATTATGAGTGCTGCTGCATGGAATGCCTTTTGAGTCGACTCGAAACTCACCGGTGGGCGCTGCTGCTGCTTGCAGTGATGTTTTCTCGGAGAGTCGATGTTGCATGTTGTCAAGGCCGTGCTGCTGTATCGCATCGTGAGTGCTGCTGTACCGCATCGTGAGTGCTGCTGTACCGCATCGTGAGTGCTGCTGTACCGCATCGTGAGTGAATGCATGCATGCGTGAATTATCGCGTGAATTGCGAGTCTCTTACACTTCATCATTCCCATAGCCATACCTTCCGCTCCTTTCCCCTACTCTCGCTCACTCTCCATCCCTCCTCCCCCCTCCATTGCCTCCACCAGATCGCCTATCTGGAAGGGTGTGACAGCTGCAGCAGCAGCAGCAGCAGCAGCGGCGAGGCAGGGCAGTGCAGCCCCACCGAGGGTTATCTAACGGCAGCAGGGCTGGGAGCACTGGCTGTGGCTCTGGCTGTGGTGACCCAGCAGCTGTGCTACCGCGCATATGTTGTGTCTACCAACACACGCACCGCTGCCATTAGCGCTGGTGAGTGAGGAGAGGGAGAGGGAGAGTTTGAGGCGCCTCAAAAGTCAGTGGCACTGGCGGTGGTGCTGGCTGTGCTGACCCAGCAGCTGTGCTACCGCGCATACTCCTCTCCTCCAACACACGCACCGCCGCCATCAGTGCAGGTGAGGATGCCATCTGGATGCCTCCTGCGCAGGTGAGGTCAGAAAGCCTCCTTTTCACCCATTCCCTCACCTCCTTCCCCAACTGTCCTCCCCACCCACTTCCGCTTCCTCCCATCCCACACCTAGTACCCACTTCCCTTGTTGTCTGCACTCCTATACCTTTCCGCTCCCACCCCAAGCTCGTAGCCTGTGCAATCTGAATCGGCCAATATGCTTCTGCTTCGTTTCGCCTATCCCCCCCCCCCCCCCGCCCGCCCTTCCCCCAACTCTCCTCCTGTCCTCCCCTCCCCCTTGTGCCTCCTCCCTCCCACACACGTTGCTACCTCTCCCATTCAGTGCAACCTTCCTCCCCTCAGAAGACACTCAAAAGTCAATGCGGACTTCCTCCCTCCCCTCCCCTCCCCTCCCCTCCCCTCCCCTCCCCTCCCCTCCCCTCCCCTCCCCTCCCCTCCCCTCCCCTCCCCTCCCCTCCCCTCCCCTCCCCTCCCCTCCCACACCCTCACCCTCCCTCTCCCCTGCAGTACACCGCCACCTCCTCACCCTCACCGCCAGCGCGCTGAGCCACGTCAGCAGCGGGCACTGCATCAACCTGCTGTCCAATGACGTGCGCCGATTGGAGGACCTGGTGTTCTGTGGGCAAGCTCTATGGGTGGTGAGGCGAAGTGGGCGGTGGGGTGGGGGGGGGTATGGGGTTTGATGGGTGGGGGATGGGGGATGGGGATGGGGGAATGGGATGACGGGGATGATGGATGGGGGATGGGAAATGGGGATGTCATTTTTTGTGACTCACTGCCTTCGTCCACTTCACACATTCTTTGTGTCTTGCGTGCTTTCTTCCCTGCTTTCTTTACTTTCTGTGCTGTTTCTTTCCGTTATCCAGGCGCCAATAGAGCTTGTGGTGGTCACGTGGCTGATAGCGAGGGAGATCGGATGGGTGCCCACCATCGCTGGCATCGCCACGCAACTGCTGCTGCTTCCGCTACAGGTGCATGCTTCGCTGCCTTGTCACTGACGTTCGTGGCCTCTCTCTCTCTCCCTCGCTCTTCCTACGCTCCCTCTCTGTCTGGCTACCCCTCCATAACCCGTCAACCTCACTCTCTCTCTCTCTTTCCCTCTCTTCCCCTTCTGCCCTCCATGCGTCACTCCCTTTATTCCCCTTATGCGTTCAACACCAGCTGGCGTGTGGCAAGTGGAGGGTGCGCCTGCGGGCGAAAACGGCGGAGGCCACTGATGCACCCGCTCTCCCCCGTCTGCCGTCCCCCATCATGCCACGGCGGAGGCCACTGATGCACGCGTGTCAGCCTCACCCGCTCCCCCCCGTCTGCCGTCCTGTGCCTCTCTCTCCATTCACCCTACGTGCTCCACTTCCCCCCCCCTCCCTCCACACCCCCCTCGAAAAATGTAACCACACCAGCTGGCGTGTGGCAAGTGGAGGGTGCGGCTGCGGGCGAAAACCGCGGAGGCCACTGATGCACGCGTCAAGCACACAGAGGAGGTGGGCGGTTGGGGAGAGAGGTGGGCGGTTGGGGAGAGAGGTGGGCGGTTGGGGAGGGAGGAAAAGGGAGAGGGAAGAAGGGAGAGGTCAAAGAGTGGGGATGGGGGAGGGGACGAGGAGGGTTGGGTGGGAAAGGGGAGGAGAGGGTTTGGGTTAAGGAGGAGGGGAAGGGAGGCGTTGGTGGAGGGAGGTAAAGAATGCATGTTCTCGACCTGTCATCGGAATTGCACTGCGGTATCCTTGGCCTCTCACGTGTCTTACCTGTGTTCCCCTCATAACATTCTTCAACTCCTGTCTGATCCCACTCAACCAACACCACATACCCACTCACCCATTTCCTTGCCCCACAACAGGCTCTGGGCGGCATACTGACTGTGAAGACGCTGGCTCTGGAGGGGCCGCTCACAGCAATCATCCAACAAATCAGACGGAGAGAAATGTCCTTGTGAGTCAATCCCTCCAACTCTCCCGCCACTCTTGCTTTGTCCTCTCCCTCTTCTTCCCTCTCAGCCTCGCCCGCCCCTCCACCCTCCCTCTCGCTCGAACAGTCCTTGTCATTGAATCCATTCGTTACTAATTAGATTCAGCAATCGCTTCTTCTGCCATCCTCCATCCTCTCTATCCTTCCCTTCCATTCTCCAGCCTGAAGTGGACAGCCGCCCTCAACGCCGTGACGGCTGCGCTCTACTTCTCATTCACCTCCGTGGTGGCCCTTGTCACCTTCGCCACCTTCACATGCCTCGGCGGGCAGCTCACCGCGGCCGTTGTGTTCTACGTGCTCACCCTCTTGGAGGTAAGTTCTGAAACGTCTCAAAACGCTGTGTTCTACGTGCTCACCCTCTTGGAGGTAAGTTCTGAAACGTCTCAAAACGCTGTGTTCTACGTGCTCACGCTCCTCGAGGTGTGGTGCGCCTTTCTTTTCTTCCATGCGCCTCAGCCGAGCGCTCTCGCTTCCTGCTCACGCTGCTCTTGGGGCACCTCATACGGTAATCACCTTCACGTGCCTTGGAGGCCAACTCACCGCGGCCGTTGTGTTCTACGTGCTCACGCTGCTGGAGGTGCGTCTTTCCTGGGCAGCTGGGCCCTTATTCGAGCAGAGTTGACGGGATGCATACGCACACGTACACGTGCTCTCACTCACAGCAGCGCTGGCCACTCATGAATGCGCATGACTGGATTGAATGGGTTGCTCAACGGCGCATGGACTGCTGGCCACCGAGCCCGTTGCGATTTTTCAGGCGCCTCGTGGGGGACTGGGTTGAGTGGGATGGTCATCGTGCTTCAAAAGCCATTATTTCAGGCGCCTGAAAAGTGGACTGCTGGTCAACGTGCAAACTTTGAGGCGCCTCAACAATTGTGGCCATCGTGCCTCAGAAGCCGTTTTCTGAGGCGCCTCAAAAGTGGACCGCTGGTCAACGTGCACTGTTGCTTCTTTCAAATCAGTTGCACCGTTGCTTCTCTCTAAGCAGTCCACTAACATGCCCCACTCTTCCCTTCCTCCCTTCCTCCGTACCGTATTTCCCTCAGATCCCGCACTACACCATGGGGTGGAAGGTGGCCTATGGCATACAGCAGATAGCAGAGGCGTTTGTCAGCTTCAAGCGACTCTCACACTTCCTGCAGGTTGGTATGCAGGAATCAACATTTGAGACGTCTCAAAATCACATCCTGCATGTCAGCTGCACGCAGGAAGCACCATGCTCTTTGCTGCTGCCCACCCACCCATTCACCCCCACTTCTCTCGGCATTTCTCTGCATATCGTTGACAACCAACACATTTGCAGAGATTCTTGACTTGACTCAAAAACCACGCACCACGTCCATCCACCGCCTATCGTTAACGCGTTGCAGCGCACGCCCTGTTGATTGCTTGGAGCACTATAGATAGGAGGTTGCATTGTTGTGATGAGGTGCGATTGGTGATGAGAGCATTCCTCAATATACCTCGATGTGCGTGGGTGGGTGGATGGGTGGCTGAGTGCGTGCGTGCGTGCGTGCGTGCGTGCGTGCGTGCGTGCGTGCGTGCGTGCGTGCGTGCGTGCGTGCGTGCATGGGTGCGATGAATGGCTCGTCCATCTTCCTGAGTGCCATCTCATCCCATTTGCGTGCCTCTGCGTGTACATGCGTGTGCGTGCACCTTCCCTGTGCGTCCTACCTGCACTCCAACAGACCACCCCCCATGGAGCCAGGCAACAAGGATCACCGTCCCATTATGGCTCTGCTCTGCCCCCAAAAGCGCGCCACCATGCCATACACACCCCAACCACCACCAAGCCACCCGAATCGACAGCTGCTGCTCTCACAGCACCACCATCCCCACCATCCCCACCATCCCCACCATCCCCACCATCCCCACCATCCCCACCATCCCCACCATCCCCAGAGCTCCCCTCACTGCCCACACACAGCCTCTCCTCCTCCTCTGCCCCCACTCGCCTTCCCTCCACCCCGCGTGCCGCGCTGGTGCTTGAAGGGGCTTCGTTTGCTTGGGGAGAAGCAGCCGGGGAGGTTAAGGGCGAGGGGAAGTGGGAGAGCAAAGAAGAAAGAGGGAAGGGATTCAGAGGAAGGAGGAGGAAAGAGCATGCGCCGCTTGAGGCAATTCCTGAGCCAATTTCTGAGCATCCATTGGCTGGGCATGTTGTGGATCTCACTGAGCATCGCACGGCCGATGGCACGTGGTACGGTAAGGGCTACATGAGCAGAGTCAGGAGTTTCCGCCGCGTCCCCAAAGCTTTCCGCGTGCGCTCCCTGCAGCGAATAATGAGCTTTCGTGCTGCAGGCCCTTCCCCTGCTGTCGGCCCTTCCCCTTCTGCTGTCGGCCTTTCTCCTGCTGCTGCTTCTGCTGCTGCTGCTGATGGCGGAGGGCACGCATGTGACGGCACAGGAGGAGCAAGAGGGGCATGTGGAGATAGACGGCGCACCGAGCGGGCGGGTGGAGGGAGTGAGCGTGAGGGTGGGAGAGGCAGAGCTGCTGGGAGTCACTGGCAAGGTAAGCCCGCTGCTTGCTTCTTGCGGCCTGCTATGGCCTGCTATGGAATGCTATGGAATGCTATTGCCTGCTATTGCCTGCTATGTAATGCTATGGCCTGCAATGGAATGCTCTTGCCTGCTGCATGACTGTGCCTTGTGCGTGTTGTGTGCCTCTGGCTGTCACAGACTGTGCTACAGTCTACTGCCTGCTGTGTTGCCTACTGTGGTGTCTGCTGTGCTGCCTGCAGCCTTCTGAGTGGCGCACTTGGACTGTAACGCATGCTTCAGGAAAACACTGCTGTGATCGTGCCATTTACCCTGCCTCCCTCCCACCCGTGCCACCTTGCAGACGGGCAGTGGCAAGTCGTTGCTGCTGCTGGGTATTCTCGGGGAAGTGCCTCTCTCATCCGGTGCCATGCACCGCTCCGTGCCTTCATGCTAAATCCTCCCTCCACACCTCCCACCCTAACCGTGCCACCCGGCAGACGGGTAGTGGCAAGTCGCTGCTGCTGCTGGGTATTCTCGGGGAAGTGCCTCTCTCATCCGGCGCCATGCACCGCTCCGTGCCCTCCCTCGCCTACGCATCGCAGCAGGTCTGCCTCTCACTCGCCTCTCTCTCACCCTTTGCCACTCGCCTCTCACCCTTTGCCACTCGCCTCTCACCCGTTACTACGCATCTCTCAGCCTTGCCTGTGGTATGACGTGCATCAGCCTTTCCCCTCCATGCACACACACATGCTGGTACACGTGCGGCCTGTGGCGACTCAAACCTACATCCGGGAGGTGCAGTATTACGGGTCACTCGATGGTGGCGTGCGCAACACAGCATCATGTACACCGCGTGTGACTTTTGAGTCGACTCAAAAGTCGCATCATGTACACCGCGTGTTGAGTTCTCCCATACCCCTCCTCCTCCCTACCCACCCACCCACCTTCCACCCGTCCATGCCACCAGCCGTTCCTCGTCGAGGGCACGGTGCGAGACAACATCCTATTTGGCACACCGCTGGACGAGGTCCTGTATGCCAAGGTACATTGCTGTGCGCTCTGCCACTGCCACGGTGAGGTAATGACCACAGTGGTCCAATGCACCAGCGCAGAGGGCCCTGGTCGACTTTGCTCGGCCAGAAGCTGATCCTCTCACTTCTTTGTTTTGCATCAGTGAACATCTGTCTCGCCTATGAACGTCTCCCAATACCCCTCTCTGCCGTCCCTCCCCATTGCCCTCTCCTCCCCATTGCCCTCTCCTCTCCATTGCCCTCTCCTCCCCATTTCCCTGTCCTCCCCATTGCCCTCTCCTCCCCATTGTTTGAGAATCCCATAGTTGGGAGAAAGGGTGAACTCAAGAGTTGGTTTGATTAGAAAGATGGTGGGTACATATAGGAGATGAAAAGTATGGGGAACTAGGTTGGGTACCTGCAACATTATTGGTGAGCCAATAGGAGTGGCCACCAATAATGTTTCGGAGGTGGCTGCCAATTATCGGGGGGCCTGGTTTACCCCGCCAATTATGGCAGAGTGGGGTTGTCACGCGCCCAACCTGGCTCAAAGTGTACACCCATGTTTGGGTGTTACACTGGCACATTTACAACCCAACTGATGCTATAATCTAACACAATGCCCTCTCCTCCCCATTGCCCTCTCCTCCCCATTGCCCTCTCCTCCCCATTGCCCTCTCCTCCCTGCTCTCTCTAATATTTCCCCACTCAAGGTGGTGGACGCCTGTGCCCTGCGCGCAGACCTTGCCCTGTGGCCACGTGGCAACGAATCATTGGTGGAGGAGGGCGGTGGCAACCTCAGTGGCGGGCAGAGGGCGCGCGTGTCGCTCGCCCGGGCGGCTTATGCTGCCCTGCACTGCTGTGCTGGCCCACCACCCTCGCATGCTGATGGCAATAGCGGTAGCAACACTGGAAATAGCAGCAGCAGTAAAACTATCGGCACCAACAGCAGCAGCAGCAGCAGCAGCAGTGGCAACGGCAGCAGCCAAAGCGCGCCCCCACCGGCGCTGGTCCTACTAGACGACCCCCTAGCCGCGTTGGATCCAGCCGTTGCCTGCCACGTGTTTCAGCAGTGCTTGTGTGGACTGCTGGCAGGGCTGCCGCGGATTGTCGTCACTCACCATACACAGTACCTTGGCAGGTATGGTTATGGGTGTGGGGGAAGGGGATGGATGGAAGGGGAGGGGAGGGGGCTATTGTCACAGTCACTCACCACGTGCAGTACCTTGGGGGGTATGGTCATGGGTGTGGGGGAACCGGATGGGGAAGGGGCGGGAAGGTATGGTAATGGGTGTGGGAAAAGGGGATGGGAAAGGGGTGGAGAGGTAGCAGAGAATTGATGAGGGAGGGAGGCGGGGTTTTTATTGCAGTGATCCCCCATCCTATTCGCTTGCACTCTCTCGCGCGCTCTGTGCCCTTTTTCTTGGGATGTGTCTACTCATGCGTCTGTGCGTTTCTGTTGCATACAAGTGTGCATGGTCAAGGCCTTCCATGCACACAGATGTATCCGTCTTTCCTTCTGCATCCCTATTGAACCCCTCTCTATCCCATTGAACCCATCCCTTATCCCGTATAAGCTCACCCTTTGTCCCTCTGAATCCCTCTCACTCTATCCCTGTGTCCTCTTGCTGTCATCCTCAACCTCCCTCTTCCTCTCTCTGTCTTTGTTCTGCCCCTTTCACGTTTGTATCCGCGACCTCCCCCTTTGTTCTGCCCCCCTCCCCTCCAATCCCCAGCTGCGACAGGGTGTTGGTGCTAGACGGCGGCACAGCAGCAGTGTGTGGCGACTTTTGAGTCGTCTCGGAAATCATCTCTCTCTTTGTTTGCTCTGCCCCCTTCCCCCCGCCCATCCCCAGCTGCGACAGGGTGTTGGTGCTGGACGGCGGCACAGCAGCAGTGTGTGGCGACTTTTGAGTCGTCTCGGAAATCATCTCTCTCTTTGTTTGCTCTGCCCCCTTCCCCCCGCCCATCCCCAGCTGCGACAGGGTGTTGGTGCTGGACGGCGGCACAGCAGCAGTGTGTGGCGACTTTTGAGTCGTCTCGGAAATCATCTCTCTCTTTGTTTGCTCTGCCCCCTTCCCCCCGCCCATCCCCAGCTGCGACAGGGTGTTGGTGCTGGACGGCGGCACAGCAGCAGTGTGTGGCGACTTTTGAGTCGTCTCGGAAATCATCTCTCTCTTTGTTTGCTCTGCCCCCTTCCCCCCGCCCATCCCCAGCTGCGACAGGGTGTTGGTGCTGGACGGCGGCACAGCAGCAGTGTGTGGCGACTTTTGAGTCGTCTCGGAAATCATCTCTCTCTTTGTTTGCTCTGCCCCCTTCCCCCCGCCCATCCCCAGCTGCGACCGAGTGTTGGTACTGGAGGGTGGTAGAGCAGCGGCGTGTGGCGCCTGGAGTGACATCTGCGCCCTGGCCTCTGCTGCAACCTCCCTCTGTGTTTTCTCTGCCCCCCTCTCCTCCTCCCCCCCATCCCCAGCTGCGACCGAGTGTTGGTACTGGAGGGTGGTAGAGCAGCGGCGTGTGGTGCATGGAGTGACATCTGCGCCCTGGCCTCTGCTCAGCAGCACTGTGACAACCCCCCTTTGGGGAGATTCAGTGACAGTGCCGTCTGTGCCACTGCCACTGCCACTGTCGCTGCCACTGCCGCTGGCTCTGGCAGCAGCAGCACGAACACAGATGCTGCAGTGCCGCTGCCAGAGCTGACACACAGCGCTGCTGCCACCGCTGCTGCCACCGTTGCTCACCCACAGCGCTGCACGGGCAGCGGCAGTGGGAGTGCCGTCTGTCCCACTGTCCATGTCGTTGCCACTGGCTCTGGCAGCAGCAGCACGAACACGGAAGCTGCAGTGCCGCTGCGAGAGTTGTCGCACGGAGCTGCTGTCGCCGTTGCTCACCCACAGCGCTGCAAACGCAGCGGCAGTGGCAGCTGTGTAAATTTCGACTTGAGCAGTGAGAGCAAGACAGATGCACCAGCAGAATGCACGAGGGAATGCGAGGAGGAGCGCACTCGCAGGGACTCAGCATTGAGAGGAAGCGAAGATGAATGCCCCGTCATAGAGACAGACGTTGAGGTGGAGAGGGGAGAGGCGGTGAAGGAGGGCATCCAAAGAGAGTCATCGTTGAGAGGAAGCGAGGATGTGGCGGAGAGAGCAAAGGGGGTGAATGGGGTGGAAGATGCATGTAGGGAAGGGGAGTGTGTCCCACATGGGGAGACTTCTGAGTTGATTCAAAGAGAATTGCCGTTGAGAGGAAGCAGTGGAGACAGCAGCGAAGGGGAGACAGCAGAGGGGGAGAAAGGGTTGGAAGATGCATGCAGGGAGGAGGAGAGTTTTCCACATGGGGGCGAGGATGCCAAGGGCTCGTTGCACAAGTCGTCTTTTGAGTCGACTCAAGAGGTTAGGGAAGGGGAGACTGTCCCACATGGGGGGGCGAAGGGGCTAGAAGATGCACGCAGGGAAGGGGAGAGTGACCCACATGGGGGCGAGGATGCCAAGGGCTCGTTGCACAAGAGGAGGAGGAGTGTGTCGCACTTGAGGAGTTACTCACTCTTCCGGAGGAGGACGGGAGTGCAGGAGGAGGAGGAGGATGAGGAGGAGGATGAGGAGGATGAGGAGGATGAGGAGGATGAGGAGGAGGCGGAGGAGGCGAGTGGCTCCTCAGAAGGTGACGAGCAAGGTAAGCGGGCAACCATGGCTTCATTTTAGATTTATCCCAAGTGAGCGATTTTTGAGAATTCTCAGAAATCGCTCGGAAAGCAGGCAACCATGGCTTCTCACGTTAGATTTATCCCAAACCCCTCCAACTGCCTGTCCCACGCAATCGTGTGTGCTCCCATCCCTGGGTGTGCTGTGCTCCCGCTGTCCCTTCCCACGCCACACCCAGGGTATGTGTGTGCATGCAGACCTGCTGGACGACCACTCTTTTCACTCCTTCCTTGCCCTTTATCCATCCCATCTCACGCAACCGCTGTGTGTGTTTCCAAGCCTGCTGAACGTGGAGGGATGGCAGTGGGATGCCTGTGCTCCCATCCCTGGGTGTGCATCCGTCCCCCTATCCCATCCCATGCTATCCCCAAACCGCTGTGTGTGCTTGCATCCCCCTGTCTGTGTGTGTGTGTGTGTGTGTGTGTGTGTGTGTGTGTGTGTGTGTGTGTGTGTGTGTGTGTGTGTGTGTGTGTGTCTGTGTGTGTGTGTGTGTGTGTGTGTGTGTGTGTGTGCTGGACGTGGAGGGATGGCAGCGGGGCGCCATCTCGCTGTCCGTGTTTGTGCTTCTATCTCTTAAAAGCGGCTGTGTTTCCCGCTGTCTCATCCCACGGGACCCACGCTATCCCCACATCGCTGTGTGTGCCTGCAGGCCTGCTGGACGTGGAGGGGTGGCAGCGCGGTGCCATCCCGCTGTCTGTGTTCTGGAGTTACGCCAGAAAGATACGCATGCTGCCTCTGCTGCTATTTGCTGCCCTCTTCCTCGCCGCACACGTCTCGAACGCCCTCGTCAGCTGGTGAGAACAAAGCTTGACCCCATGCTCTCTTTCTGCTTTTGAGTTGACTCCAAAGAAGTTATGCGTGCTGCCTCTGCTGCTCTTTCCTGCCCTATTCCTCACTGCACACGTCTCTAACACCCTGGTCAGCTGGTGAGGAAAGTCCTCCATGCTCCCTTTCTCTCTCACACACAGCCCCCTATCAATCACCTCACCTATCATTCCCCTCCCCCCCCCCACTACTCACCCTCACAACCATCGCCCTCTCCCTGCTCGCCTCTCTGCTCCTCCACTTCGCCACGCAGCGCGCCTCCTCCCGCATGCACTCCCTCGTGCTCTCCTCCGTGCTCTCCTCGCTGCTCATCTACCCCTCCTGTGTGCCGCGTTGCACGCCTCTTCCATCTGACATCTGCCCATCCCTCCCGCTCCATGCTTGATGACTCTTGCCCCTCTTCCCCTCCCCATCCCTCCCCACCCCTCCCCTCCCCTCCCCTCCCCTCCCCTCCCCTCCCCTCCCCTCCCCTCCCCATCCCGCCCCTCCCCACCCCGCCCCTGCCCTCCACCACAAGGTTCCTGGGCCTCTGGACAGAGGCCCCCGAGACCACACCACACCCACTCCTGACCCTCACAGCCATCGCTTTGTCCTGCGTGGCCCTCTCCCTCCTCGCCTCGCTGCTCCTCCACTTCGCCGCGCTGCGCGCCTCCTCCCGCATGCACTCCCTCATGCTCTCGTCCGTGCTCGCCTCGCCGCTCGCCTTCTTCCACCGCAACCCCACGGGTCGCGTGCTGAACCGCTTCAGTGAGGACCTCGGGGTGACTGACGATGTGCTGCCCCAACTGCTGCTGGATTTTCTGAATGTGAGTTGACTCTCCATGGTCACCCCGCTTGGCTTCCTTCCACCGCAACCCAACCCCACGGGTCGCGTGCTGAACCGCTTCAGTGAGGACATTGGGGTGACGGATGATGTGCTTCCACAGCTGCTGCTGGACTTGCTCAATGTGAGTGGACTCAATCGTCACCCCACTCGCCTTCTTCCACATGGCCACCACAGCTGAACTGGTCAGCTGATGTGCGACACACTTCTCCACATTTGGCCACCAGCTCAAATGCTGAATGTAAGTGGACTCAATTGTAACCCCGCAACCCCACTGACCACGTGCTGAACTGGTTCAGTAAAGGCCTCGGGGTTACAGATGATGTGCTTCCGTAGCTGATGCTGATTTCCTCAATGTGAGTGGAGGGGGGGAGGGAGGGGGGGGAGGGGGGGAGGTGTGGAAGGGGAAATTTTCAGAGGACGTTGTGTATATCAAGAGAGAGGTGGAAAGGAGGGGAGGAAGTAAAAGCAGGGTGACGAGAGCAGTAGGGAAAGAAGAAAGCGCGGACGGGAAGGGAGGGATGCACAGCCGAACGTGGTCAATACCACGTGTGCACGCACAAAGCTGCACGGCGCATGCACCATACCAACCAACCACCAGTCACTCACTCTTCCATCTTGATTCGACCTCATCCACCTCCCCGTATCCTCATTCCCTCTTCCAGCCCTTTGGCCTGCGTGTGGCGGCGGTGGTATCGGCATGCATAGCCGCGCCGTGGACACTCATCCCCATGCTGCCACTGCTGCTGCTGCTTCTGCCGCTGCACCCACCAGTCACCCACTTCCCCATCTCCATCCGACATCATCCCTTTGCCCCTATACCCATGCCCCCCTTCCCACCCTCCCTGTTTTCGCCCTCCCTGTTACGCTTCCCCACAGCCCTTCGGCCTGTGTGTGGCGGCGGTGGTATCGGCATGCATAGCCGTGCCTTGGACACTCATCCCCATGCTGCCGCTATTGCTGCTGCTACTGCACCTGCGCCATCTGTATGTCTGCACGGCCATGGAGGTCCGGCGCATGGAATGCACCACACGCTCTGTGCTGCTTGCTCGCTTCCTCGCCACCATGGAGGTGAATATCATAAGGGTTTAGGGTCCTTATTGGTTGAACATGTGAAGGGTACGGATCTCGTCGGCCCATCAGGAGCCTGAGCCAGAGTGAGTGAGAATGCCCTACAGAAAGAAGAGGAGTAAGGTCCCCTGGTCCGAGCCAGGGCTCAGGCAACGCAATGGCACGCTCGCTTACACACTGAGGGACAGGCCCCTCCCACGCATCAACTGCCACTTTTGTAATTCCCAAGCTCGCCTCAAGTATATTCTCCCTTCAACCGCCCCCTCCCCCTCCCCCCGCCCTCCCCTCCCCACTACGGCCTGCCAACCATCCTGGCCTTCTCCTAGCAGCGCCGCTTCCACCGCTACATGCACTCCCCCCAGCTCACCTCTCAAGTATGTACTCCCCCCTTCCCTTCCCCCTCCCCTCTCCCCCTCCCAGGGCCTGCCAACCATCCGGGCCTTCTTCCAGCAGCGTCTCTTTCCAAACTCTCCTCAACCTTTCCCACTTCCCACCCTCCCCAGGGCCTGTCAACCATCCGGGCCTTCTCCCAGCAGCGCTGCTTCCTAAGCTTTCCTCAAATTCTATACTCCCTTCCCCTCTCCCCTTCCCCTCTCCCCTTCCCCTCTCCCCTTCCCCTCTCCCCTTCCCCTCTCCCCTTCCCCTCTCCCCTTCCCCTCTCCCCTTCCCCTCTCCCCTTCCCCTCTCCCCTTCCCATTCTCCCCTCCCCCCTTCCCCAGGGCCTGCCAACCATCCGGGCCTTCTCCCTCCCAGCAGCGCCACTTCCCAAAATCACCTCATATTCTATCCTCTCCCACCCCTTCTCCCCCACACCAGGGTCTGCCGACCATCCGGGCCTTCTCCCAGCAACGCCGCTTCCTAAACTCTCCTCAAATATATTCCCCCTTTCCCTCTTCCTCTCCCTAGGGCCTGCCAACCATCCGGGCCTTCTCCCAGCAGCGCCGCTTCCACCGCCTCTTCCTGCGCCACGTCAGCGCCAACGCCAGCCCGCACCTATTGTGGATCGCCACGTGGGAGTGGCTGGGCTTCCGATTGGACCTCCTCGTTGCCGCCGCCCTGCTCTCCGCCGCCCTCGCCGCCGTCGCGCTGCGCCACTCGCTGCCGCCCGCCCTGGCCGCGCTGGCCCTGTCTTACCTGCTGCAGCTGCCGGACTCCCTGCGCTGGGCGCTGCAATACGGCGTGGAGCTGGAGAACACGGTGAGAGGGGGAGAGGGGGGATGAGCGAGGAGACAGGGGTGCAATGGCTTTGACTTGTCTGCTGCAGCTGCCGGACTCCCTGCGCTGGGCGCTGCAATACGGCGTGGAGCTGGAGAACACGGTGAGAGGGGGGGTGGACAGACAGGGGTGTGAGGCGAGGGAGGGGTTGAGGTGAGAGAAGAGGCGAAGGCAGATAGGGATGACATGGTTGTGATGTTCATGGGTGTGAAGGAGGCGAGGGAAGACAGGGATGCCATGTCACAACCATGGACATCACAACCATGGACATCACAACCATGGACATCACAACCATGGACATCACAACCATGGACATCACAACCATGGACATCACAACCATGGACATCACAGCCATGGACATCACAGCCATGGACATCACAGCCATGGCATGGCATCCCATGTAAAGGAGGCGAGGGAAGACAGGGATGCTATGGTTGTGATGTACATGGGTGTGAAGGAGGTGAGGCAAGGGAGGAACGAAGCAGCAGGGTGTCGAGCTGGAGAACACAGTGAGAAGGATGGGGACAGGGTGAGCGGGGGTGAGAGGTTGAGGCGAGGGGACATGCGTGCATTAGTTGTGATGTTCAAGGTTGTGAGGGATGTGAGGCAAGGTAGGGAAGAGGCAGCACCATGGAGGGTTGGGAAACAGTGAAAAGCGTGCACGCTTCTTGTAAGAACCCTGCACGAGTTCTCACGAGTGACTCCCACGAGTGACTCTCACGAGTGGCTCCCTCTGCAAAGTGTGCTGATTTGAAAGGGATAAAAAAACACCCACCCATCTGCTGTCTCAGCTCTTATGTGATGCATCTTGATGATACATCCATAATCATCACACCGCGAATTTTGAATCACATTCTCGTCCCTCCTGCACTCGGTCATTTCAGTAACCATTTTTTAGGCGCCTTAAAAGGCTTCTTCATCCCTCGTGCACTCGGTCAATTCAGCAACCTGCATTGTTGTCTACCTGCCCCTCTGACACCCCACTTCATCCCCGCCAGTTCACCAGTGTTGAGCGCACACTCGAGTACACCACGCTGCCAGGGGAAGAGCCCGCACCTGCCAAACGAAAACCCAAGCGTCAGCAGTACATGTGGCAGCAGCCGCAGCAGCAGCAACGACAACAACAACAACTGCAGCAGCCGCAGCAGCAGCAACGACAACAACAACAACAGCAGCAGCAGCAGCAGCAGCAGGAAAATTCCACCGCCAAATCCTCCTTACCCAGCTTCCTGTACAAGGCACTGCAAACAGCACTCAGCTTCCTGCCCTTCAAAGCAGTATTCTCTCGCAATCCGCCCTCCACCCACTGCCAAGCCACTGATGCAGCACCAAACAGCAAGGAGGAGGAGGAGGAGGAGGAGGATGGCAGCAGTAGCGCCATTTGCCCCTCGTGGCCGTCAGCAGGAGCAGTGCGAGTGGAGCAGCTGACGGTGCGGTATGGAAGCACGCGGCAGGCAGTGCTGCGCGGATTGAGCTTTCGGCTCGCAGGGGGTGAGAAGTGCGGCGTGGTGGGGCGAACAGGTGAGAGGATACGTGGAATTTTCGTCTTTGATCCAATGTACCGTCATTGGATTGAGCTGCTTCAAGGAGGAAATTTTTGCGGGCGTTTGATAATTCTCTAAATGTGACCTCAATGTGCTTCGTATAGAGGGAGTTCGGGCCTCTGTAGTCCTTGAGGCCATGTTGGCTGTTATGTGTGGTGCATGTGCCTGTCACGCCTCAACCCATCAGGTGCTGGCAAGTCCACCCTCATGCTGGCACTGCTGCGGTTGGTGGAAGCGTCTTCAGGGAGCATCTGCATAGACGATGTTGACATTGCATCGCTGCCACTCGCTACGCTGCGAAGCAAGGTGAGCAGAGCATCGGTGAAGCAGATTGATGGGGCATTGGTGCAATGTCTTCAGGGAGCATTCGCATCGATGATGTTGACATTGCATCGCTGCCCCTCGCTACCCTGCTTAGTAAGATAAGCTATTTAGGCACCTCAAAGTCATTGCATTGCTGCCACTCGCTACAATGTGAAGCAAGGTGAGAAACAATGCAGCTTGTATTGTTATTAATATTATTACTATTATTATTATTATTATTGTTACTACAACTACTATTTTTGTTGTTGTTGTTATTATTATTACTATTAGTATTATTATTATAGAATATAGATTATTTTGCCGTCTTGGAAAGTACTCGGAACCCTCAGAAGTAAACAACTTCTCCATCTGTTGGCCTTTTTGCTATAAGTATTACACGCTTAGTATTACACGTATAGTATTCTGTTTTATATATATATATATATATTCCTGGTTTTCAACGGCCTCTCCTGTTGCAGGTGGTGGCCATTCCTCAAGAGCCAGTTCTCTTCAGTCAGTCAGTGCGATTCAACCTTGATCCCATCGGGTAAAACTACTCCCTATGACCACGATTTTCTCTGACCAAAAATTAACGACACTGTTGAAACTTCATCGCCGTTATGTGGCCTATTTCCAGCTGTACATCTTCTCACCGCACCTCAAATGTGTACTCTCAGTCACTCACTTAACCTCTTGTGCACTTTCACCCTCCCAAACCCCGATTCATCCCCCCCATTCCCTCCCATCATCCCCCTCATCCCCCCCACCCCCCTGACAGCCAGCACAGTGACGAGTCCCTGTGGTCGGTGCTGGCAGCGGTGTGCTTAAAAATCACCCTCTCATCCCGCATTTCACCACCCCACCCTCCATCTCCTAATGTCCCCATCACAGCCAGCACAGTGATGAGGCCCTGTGGTCGGTGCTGGCAACTGTGAGATTGAAGTCGCTGGTAGCTGGGCTGCTGGGGGGATTGGATGGTGCCCTGGCAGGCGGCGGGGGGAACCTCTCCCTGGGGCAGCGGCAGTTGCTCTGCCTTGCAAGGTACGCCCAAGAAGATGCTTTGAGGGGCCTTAAAATTGCAGCTGAAGCCACTGGTGGCTTTAGCGATGGTGATGACGGTGAAAATTGCAAGGTGGTGGTTCTCTCCTTGGGTCAGAGACAACTGCTCTGCCTTGCAAGATAAGCCCAGGGTTGAGTTGGGGGCAAAGACAGGGCAGGTCATATCTCTATCTCAGAATCGTACATTGACTGCAATCGATTACAGTCTTATTCGGCATTTTCTTTCTCTATCTCTCTCGCGTTCTGATGGTAATTGTTTTCCATACAGAGCATTGCTGGCGTTGACACGGGTCCTGCTGATGGATGAAGCGACAGCGAGCATGGATGGGGAGAGCGATGCAGCGATCAAAGACATCCTGCGGGAGTCATTCAAGCACAGCACCGTCATCACCATCGCACACCGCCTCTCGACCGTTGCTGATTATGATCAGGCAAGTTGGAAGAGTGTTGTTGCATGTACCTCATTCTGAAGACATCCTGCGGGAGTCATTCAAGCACAGAACTGTCATCACCATCATCACCCACCGCCTCTCGACCGTTCGTGATTACGATCAGGCAAGTCACCAGAGCGTTGCATGTGCCTCGTTCTGAAATTTCCTGAGGGAGTCATTCAAGCCCAGCACTGTCATCACCATCGCACACCGCCTCTCGACCGTTCGTGATTACGATCAGGCAAGTGTTGAGGCGCCTCATGAGGCGAGCATGGATGTACGGTAAAGAGCGAGATGCTCTGATGATGACATTCTGCGGAAGTCATCCAAGCTCAGCATCGTCCAAGTCATCCAATCCAATCACCATCGCACACGGCCTACACTACATGTGAACACCCCCTGCACACGCACTAGTACTACCGGTACCTGCGAAAATCTTCAATGTTTCTGGTCCATCCACAATCATTCCCCCTTTTGCAGGTTCTTGTTTTGGAGCGTGGGCAGAGCATCGAGTTTGGAGCTCCTGGGGATTTGAGGAAAATCAAATCCAGTGTTTTCTCTAGTATGCTAGTTGAAAATACCTCCGAGATAATGTAAACGCGGACGGAAAAGGGGAAAACAATTTTTTTGAGTTCAAGGTTGAGACAAAGGATTCAAATCTAACATCATGCAAGTTTCAGGCTTAGTTATCGAGGACACATAAAAACTTCAAATTCCTAATAAAACAAGAGATGCGCTTTATATTCAGCCTACAAATACATCGGAACAGCGGCCGCAGCACATTGAAACGAGACTGATTTTCGTGCCGACATAATGCTTTTCGGACGGTGCAGAGCGGTCAAAATCCTCGCACCAAATTACCAGCCCGTGTTTCACGAGTTTCTTTACAGACAGTCCCGTCGAGCAGTTAGTATTGTTATTATTCTATTCACGCCCAAAAACTTAGTGGTTGGCCCAAACCCGTGACCAGGGTTTTCGTGCTGAAGACCAGTTCCTCGCCTTCGATCAACTCGCATGACTCATCACTTTCAGACCGCTTCAAGTCCGACTTAGACTCTCTCAGGATCAGCCGCTTGATGAACGGCGGGAAGAACGGCCATAGTCGTTGCCGCAGCTCGGGCAGCCGCCAATCGTCACACGTGACCACCCCGCGGCAGATCGACGCGCCGCAGTGGCAACTGAAGTTGTCGCTGCTGGTGTGGACAACGCCGGCGTTGGTACTCCCATAGTCGATGCTCAACTCTTCGCCTGCTGCGATGTCCCGCACGGCCACCACTGTAACCGAGTCCTCCAATCCGCAGTTCGGTTCGCACGAGTGGTTGATAAAGTCGGGCGTCTCGGGCCCACGCGTCGGATCCGGCACCTGCCAGAGGTGATCGTTGACTCGCAACGAGAGCTCCCGAACGCGTTCTTCGCTTCCCAGCAGGTAGTCGAGGCCGACAAGCTTGCCGGCAAAAACGAGAAGCGGATCGCCACGTCGGATGCTCGCCAATGCGAACAGCCCCTTGAATGCGTCCGCGCCACTTCCCTTGTAACGAGTCACCACGCGCGGGTCGTACCACCCCGACCCATCTTCCTCTCGATGTAGGCCGAGCAGTGGCCGGCGAACCGCCGCTGCCAGTCGTGCGAGCGCCACTCGGTGAATGTGAGCGTGCCGCGGCAGCACGCGGCGCCGCAGCGGCAGCTCAGGCCGGCGTGCATGCTACCCTCCGTCTCCGTGCAGGCGTAGTCGTACGTGACGTGCTCGCCCGGCTGAATGTCGCGCAGCGCGACCATGCAACGTGAGTTTGCGTACCATGTGTTGGGGTCGCAGGAGTGGTTGTAATAAAAGCTCGGGTCGTCCTCGGGGTCGGCTGTCGTGTCGTACAAGTCGTCACCGACCATGTACGCGTAGCGAATCATTGTCTCGCGTTTCTCCTTATCGGGTTCCGCCAATAAGTCAGAAGCGTGGTACCCTCGAATCTCTCCTTCGTCCCAATCGCAAACGACCTCGCCTTGTGCGATAAAGCTGCTCGCGAAGAGCCCGCGGCATTGGAAACCGTAGAGCTGGTGCTCTTGCACGACGATGTGCGGGTGGAGACCCATGCTGCAGGATCAGGAACGGTGGAGTGGAATGACGTGCTGTCTGATAACTGGGAATGCGGTGAAGTTTTTCGTCGCACAGACTACATATGACGCCGGCGATTCGCTGTATGTAGGAGTATTGAGGGTGTTCTCGTGGAGCACAAGGGACGCAGAGGCACGTCCAGGTGATGTAATCTAGAGTATTTCCCGCTGAGTTAATTGATTTCGGATTGGAAACTGTTGAGACGGCCGACGGATTACCAACCAAATTCCTGAAAATCAGGGGAAAATGGAAATACCGAATTAATTATTGACGCGTGGCATTTTCGCCTCTTCTCTTTCTCTAGCTGTTTTCCTGAGAATGAACACGGCATGATGGATCCTTCTGTCAAACGGTGCACTAGAAATCACGGGTGGACAATTTGCCTCACGTCCCAACAGGATGTCAGCGCATCACAACCAAGGGTTTTGCATTCGAAGGCACGAATGGCCCAGGATTGCGCTGGGAAAACAAACAAAAACGTAGTTCCCTCCACCATCCTCCCCCCCAAGGAGCACCGTGTCGCAGTCAGCTGTCATGGTGTCTAGTTGGTGCAAGGGGCCAAACATTTTTCTGTTCGGTTTGATACGTTGCTGAACACCGTCAATCACGTTTGGGGGCGGTTTCGGACTTTCGTGACTGAGGGCGCGGTGCAGATAAACTATTAAAGCCGGGGTGCAGATATCGGCGCTCCAGTTCAAAGTATTATAGCTTGAAACCCGCGTAACCCAGTATACACTGGAAAGCGAGCAGGCAGAGGCTTCTGCCAGTGGGGGAAGGGCGTGCGGAAAAGTGCTTCGCAGTATGATGTGTTGGGGGAAAGCGGCGGAGGGCTTGGGAAAAAGCTGCGCACAACGGGATGAGGGGGAGCGCAGGCAGCAAACTTGAAAATTCAAACTTGAACTCAAAACAGCTCAAACTCTCACGCTTGAACTAGGTTCCTAGCTACTAAGTAGTACTTGAAGTGCGTTTTTAGAGCTCCGCAAAGCCATTTGGCTCAGATTAATCGCCCTGCATCTTCTCTTGATGTGCAATCGAAATTCTGTGCTATATCGTACCTCGTAAACACCTTTTTTTTTCGTACCCGAAGCGCATTGCTCTCGTTTTCTTCCGCTGCCGTCCTTCTGTTTTCCCTCTCCCGTCCCTCCATTCCTCACGTATCTGCGGTAGCGAAGGCGCGAAGGTAGCAGCGAGGCGACGGCTGCTAGCAGCGAGGCGACGGTAGCTAGCAGCGAGGCGACGGTAGCTAGCAGCGAGGCGACGGTAGCTAGCAGCGAGGCGACGGTAGCTAGCAGCGAGGCGACGGTAGCTAGCAGCGAGGCGACGGTAGCTAGCAGCGAGGCGACGGTAGCTAGCAGCGAGGCGACGGTAGCGAGCTGCGGGGAGACTGTTGCGAGCAGCGGGGCGACGCATCGGTTCGACAGTGGCGAGCGGTGGCAAGTGGCCGACGAAATGGGAGCGAGCAGCATCATGGACCAGCCCCCGCCCCGTCGTCGGCCTGTCCCCCCTCCAGCCGTCCCTCCTTTCCTTCATTCTCGTCCCCGTTACGCCCTTTCTTCTCTTCCTTTCCCCCTGCCCTTCTCTCTCTTTCCCCCTGTCCTTCTCTCCCTTTCCCCCTGTCCTTCCCTCCCACCATTCCTCCCCCTCTCTCTCATCCCTTCCCTCTCCTACTGTCCCCTCCCACTCTTCCTCCCCCTCTCTTACATCCCTTCCCTTTCCTATTGTCCCCTCCCACATTCACCCTTCTCTCAGCCATCCCTTTCCCCCGTCCCCTGTCCCTCGCCTCTCGTCCCTTCCCTGTCCACTACGTTCTCTCGTCCAGCCCAGCCGACAGCACCAGCTTTGCTTGGCCACTGCCCCATGTCTTTCATATCTCAATGTCCATGCTCCCTTCACTTTCCCTACCTAACATTCTTCAATTATACGCAACGTGTCCTTCCCTCCTCCTCTGTCCCCCCCTCCCCTCCCCCCCCCTTCTTTCCTACCCCTCCCCCCTCCTTCCTGTAAATGGACAGCTGCACCAATAGTGGATCGGAGTGTAAAAATTGGCTCTCTTTGGATGATGCCATGTTGTTTGCCTGCTATGCTTTGCATAGTATCTCCTTCAGGATGACATTCCAAGGATTGCATATATAAACAGTTGATGAATTTTCTCCCCACTAAAAAAATTACTCTTGCAAGTGTACGGAGAAATAAACCTTGTAAGTGAAAATAGTATTCTGCTCAGCTTTTTTGACAGATAAGGTTTCACATTTTGCAATGTGGAGGTGTTATTGGCAGACTAGAACAATCAGCAAAAGGGGGTATGGGTGTGTTGACGTGGTTCCATTTCTCGTTTCGTATGTGTTCCCCTCCCCCCTTTCCTTCCCCCCACCCCTTCCCCCCCACTTTTCCTTTTGAGGTTCGCGACATTCGCCTTAGTTGTTTTCATCGCAACAGAACTTACACACTCGCTAGCCAATTGACGACCAGTACGGAACAGACAAAAAACGGTTTGTCACTGTTCCTAAGATAGTTGCACCCCGGCTTTAAAACTCCTGATTCCCAAGCAACTCGAGCCAGATCGTGAAATCTGTTGAATCAAAGTACCATTCGCTTGGCATGCAGTGTAGCTCTTTTGTCGTACCTGAACTGTGTTACTGTAAACGAGCGCAAACGTCACTGCAGAAAATCAGCGAAATATGCCGCATTTCGGTGAGAGATCCACCATAGACAGTTGAGAACTTGGTTGGCGAATTCCACGAATACAGCGACCGTGGACGAGGATGTTATGCGATGTTCACTACATGGGACCCCATTTGATGTCGTAAGGTTGGTGGAACTGACGAAGGGTGACTGTGGTGGGCATTTTGCACTTACTGTCGAAATTTCGCGATGCCGCACGAAAGTCAAAGTTCGCGTTCTCCGACTCTGAATAGTTCTCGGAAATACTTGTAAGTACCGCGCCCTATACGCTCCCTGCAGGTATGCACAAAATACGGACCACAACAGTAACCGTTCTTCCAGAAGTGCAGGGTGAAAATGAATTTGCACGTTGTGTCGCCTCCGCGGAATTCTGTAACATCGTACGGTTGCCACTGGTGTACAGTATCGCACCTGTGTTATCAACGGGAAACGGTTACAAAAACAGAACACTGCTGATTGCACGTACTGTACTGCACTCTGTTAGTTTCCCAGGGCGTGTTCGTTGTCATAACCAGAACTCGTGTCTGAAGTGGGGTCAGTTTCTGGGGTCGAAATATTTCAAACTCCTGAAACACCAGCAGTCCGTTGCTCCTTGTTGTACACCCTCTACTAGGACATGAGTCTGCTTGCACCAGTGGCTGCTCGTGTGTCCCTGAAATATCGGACGGTCCATATCCCTTGTTCGGCTTGCTTGCACCAGTGGCTACGAGTGTGTCCCTGAGTTCTGTTTCCATTTCCCGAAATAGATGTGGATGGCCACGGGGAAGGGCGCGGCTCGGGCGCTCGACCTACCTGGACCATGCCCGAGGCGAAATGAAAAACTACGACCCAGCTGGACCCAGTGCTTGGCCGTTTTATCTATTTCCAGATAGATAATTGGCGAAGGGTAACCAGTTTGCCAGTCTTTTTCCCAGCGTGAACAGTTGACGGGGAAGACGGTTACCGCATCGCCGGGCGTGGAAAAAGACGACCAAGCGTTAGATCGCAAGCGGCTGACGACAGCCGCGCGATACAGTGTAGTGTAGTTGATTGTTGAAATTCTGTCAGTCTGTATAATTGTTTCCATGGTTTTCTTTCCAATGCAAAGTTGTATTAGTGAATTGTGTGAATGATGGGGTGGTTTTAAGGGGGGTTTTTTTATGTTTGAAATGGACAAAGCATGTCTTCAGGTATCTATTCAATGCCGTTTCAGTGTTTTTTTTTGCATGGATGGCCATACAAATGCCTGAATTGTGGAGCTCAAAATGGTCATTTTATGGGGGTTTTATGGACTTTTTATTGGTTTTAAATGGGTTTTTTTTTTTTTATTCTGTCTCCTCTAGTACTGCTCTACTTGTTTTTTTTTTTTTTTGAAAGTTTGCAAATGTTGCACTTTTTGGTTCATATTAGCCAACTCAAGTATGTCAGTAGTACATGCTAGGTCATTCTTTGGCAATCATCAAGTCAACATTGTTTTTTCTTATTTGTTATTTCATGGCATCCAATGCAATGTTAGGCTTTGAATGCCCTGCCCATCACACATGCCATGTCAAACCAACGATGATGTGTGAGAAAATGGGAAAAACGTATGATGATTTGCTAGGGTATTTTCAACGTCTATTTGCTGTGTTTCTTTATGATGACTTAGATGTTTTCCACCCCCAACAAACGTTAACATGGTGTCCTAGTGCTTCCATGGGTTTGAACCTTTGGGTTTTGGTCAATTAGATGATTTTTACATCGATTACAAGTACGGTCGGTTTGTGGAAGGTAGCATATATATTTGATTGTGGTTTTCAATGTTTTGTTGTTTTGGAATCGTGTGCCTTACACCTGGATTGCCTCCTTGCATTGTGCTTTGTGGTGTGGGGTTTGGGGAAATGGTATGTGTTTAGTTAGGCCTGCTTGCAATCTTGGTTGTTTAAAGTTAACACATTATTGTGCTAGGTGTAGTTTGTAGTAGCGCATTGAATGGGGTGGTCATTTTCGAGAGTGGAGGTAAGATTCGCGTGACTTCCCCGAAATGGAACTGCTTGTTCGGCGCATACGAGGTACATTTTCGACGAGCCCGATGCAGCGAAATTAGTAGCCCAATTTCGAGTTGAATAATAGCGATCGGGCGACTGAATTTGGGCAAATTTCGAAATCGACCGTCCTTGCATGGACTCGAATTCGAAATCACTGACCTCCACGTGGCGGCTCAGGATAACTCTCGAAATTGGCATGGGGGAGATGGTTATTGGTCGGATTCTGTCGTTGTCAGATTTTCAGAGTGCAGCACAAGATTGAGATTGTCCCGATACGAGGGCTTTAGATCGCGGGTCAGTATGAGTTTCATGGCCTGGGGTGGCACTGCCATTGATAAATGCAACCTTTTTTGTCGCCACAACCATACAGGGTCGAATGTTTGAACACGACCTCAAAGTCCAGGCTCAGGATGGTATAAATGCCCAACGGAGGTCATTTTCTCATTTTACATCTTCTCCTTCAGTTTTTGTCCAACTTCTTCCTTAGATCCCAGCCTCCCAGCTTCCACCACTTCGTCAATGGAGCCTTCGATGGAAGTAGAGGCTGCTGGCTTGCGTGTGCGCCTCTCTCGTTTAGAGTTCGAGAACATGCGATTCAAGCGTGGGGAATGGACCGAGAACATGCTCAACTTTGCTATGGTGTAAGATGCCCTTGTAGTTTTGTTTCTCGGATAGATGTGTGACGTTTCGAGATTTACGTTCTCTGTCACGTGTAGAGTACTAGTAGCGATCTAGCAAATAACGCTCTCGCCGCTCTAACGTTTAAACCATCTTCCGAATACTTGTCTCCTCTATTCTACTGCCCAAAGTAAGCGATCTCTATTTCGAGAGATATTTCCGCGAAGACGGATGTGTTGTGTAGCGCTGGTCTGATCTCTGAAAGCTCCTTGTGTTGTCTCTTGCAGGAAGATTGCAAAGGAGAGGCTGACCGCGGACCAGCTGTCGAAAGTCGAAATCATCCCCATGAGTGCAGTCAACGCGGCCCGGGCGAAACAACCGTACGAACCCATGGGTCCTGGCAGACTCGATGGTGTGCTTGGCAAGCAACTCGTAGTCTTTCCGCTGTGGTCAAGGTGAGTTCGAATTGTAGAGGTTCCGGTATCAATCTTTATTTCTCTGAAAATACAACGGCTGTTCGATTTTCCGAGCTTTTACGCGCTTGCTAACCTTTCACCCCACCGCCCCATGCAGCATGACTGCCGAGCCTGGAGCGCGCTGTAGCCTTTTCATGCTTGTTCGGCCCGACAGTTTGGCCGACCACCCGAATATTCCGGTTGCGACACGTCTTCTGCATTTCGACCCCAAGTCGAATTCTCCAGCACACAAGCACACCGACCTCGCCCTTCAAATGGTCAAGTAAGGTTTAACTATTGTCGCTCGTCACATGTGCAAATGACGGTACGGCAGAGCATAGCCTAATTTTGTCGGAAATTCACATGCCGAGCAGATGGCTGGAGGTGCAGCTCTTGATGGAATATTCTAGAGGAGAAGCACTCACTCCAAACTCGGAGGAGCAGGAAACTTTCCGGGACATCAGGAGACGGATTATGAGCGGGTGGAGGCTCGACATAGCGGGAGTAAGTTTACAATGCAAACTCGGAATTCAGCTCGGACCTCTAAGCAGGACAAGCCCTGACCAGCTCCCTTTCATTTTCATGCAGAAGCTAACTCCAATGGTCAGCTCGAGGGAGGTCGGGAGCGGTTTTCATGTAGCGTACCAGTGGCGTAAGGTGCTCCACCATTTTGACTCGATTCTCTTACATCATGATCGAGATGATAAATTTAGGGTTCTTGGAAAACCACCCTACCGGCGAGAGGATATATTCAAGGACATAGTGACCAGCTGCAAAAAGTATTTCGACAAGCTGGCGGCAGGTGATGAGGAGGATGCGAGAGAGGTGGACCTGGAACCCGTTGGGGACGCTGCTGAGGACACGGGTGCCCCGCCCGTTATTGACGCCGAAATAGTCGCGTTGGGGGCAATGGTTGCTGACGGCGCACGAATGGGTCTGGCCAACGAGCGTCAGAGCGTAACGGATGGGGAGGGTCAGATGATGGACAGAGAGGAACCACCTTTTCAGAGGAGTGCGCGCGAGATCTTGCGTGGAATGAGGGAGGCGCAGCAGAGGGCACCAGAGGATAAGACCGAGCGTTGCGGGTCGGAGACCCAACAACAGAGGGGGGAGGGGGAGAGGATGGAGGAGTTAGCAATTGGTTTAGAGGCAGTGCACCTCTCGGTCGAGAATGATGAACAGGAGGAGCAGGGGCAGGGTATGGACATGAGGCAGGGCAGTCCGAATGTCGTAGGCGAATCGGAGGATGAGGTCCTGAGAGCGGAACGCGATAATAGGGTGGTGTATCAAAGGCGGGAGACAAGAACAAAGAAGAAGTATGATCAGGAGCGGGAAGCACGCGAGGAGGAAGAGGCGAAGCGGAGGGTGGAACAGAAGCGTGTGAGGCTCGAGGACCAGGAGCGAGAGGTGAGTGCGATGGAGGGGGACAGGGAGAGTGAGGAACGCGAACGCAAGAGGGAGGAAGAGCGGAAGAGGGAGGAGGCGAGGAAGGTGTGGCGCGAAAAGGAAGAGAAGCGTCAGAGGGAGGAGGAAGAGCGGAAGAGGGAGGAGGAAAGGCAGGCTGAGCGCGAAAAGGAGGAGAAGCGGCAGAAGGATGAAGAGCGGAAGAGGGAGGAGGAAAGGCAGGCAGAGCGCGAACAAGAGGAGAAGCGGCAGAGGGAGGAGGAAGAGCGCAAAAGGAGGAAAGGCAGGCTGAGCGTGAACAGGAGGAGAGGCGGCAGAGGGAGGAGGAAGAGCGGAAGAGGGAGGAGGAGAAAAAGGCTGAGCGCGAAAAGGAGTCGAAGCGGCAGAAGGATGAGGTGGAGCGGAAGAGGGAGGAGGCGAGGAAGGCGGAACGCGAAAAGGAGGAGAAGCGGCAGAAGGAGGAGGAGGTGAAGAGGGAGGAGGCGCGGAAGGCCGAACGCGAAAAGGAACATAACCGGCAGAAGGAGGAGGAGGAGGAGAGGAAGAGGGAGGAGGCGAGGAAGGCGGAACGCGAAAAGGAGGAGAAGCGGCAGAAGGAGGAGGAGGAGCGGAAGAGGGAGGAGGCTAGGAGGGCAGAACGCGAAAAGGAGCAGAAGCGGCAGGAGGAGGAGGAACGGAAGAGGGAGGAGGCAAGAAAGGCAGAACGCGAAAAGGAAGATAAGCGGCAGAAGGAGGAGGAGCGGAAGAGGGAGGAGGCGAGACAGGTAGAACGCGAAAAGGAGGAGCAGCGGCATAAGGATGAGGAGGAGCGGAAGAGGGAGGAGGCGAGGAAGGCGGAACGCGAAAAGGAGGAGAAGCGGCAGAAGGAGGAGGAGGAGCGGAAGAGGGAGGAGGCGAGGAAGGCGGAACGCGAAAAGGAGCAGAAGAGGCAGGAGGAGGAGGAGGAGCAGAAGAGGGAGGAGGCTAGGAAGGCAGAACGCGAAAAGGAGCAGAAGCGGCAGGAGGATGAGGAGGAGCGGAAGAGGGAGGAGGCGAGGAAGGCGGAACGCGAAAAGGAGGAGAAGCGGCAGAAGGAGGAGGAGGAGCGGAAGAGGGAGGAGGCGAGGAAGGCGGAACGCGAAAAGGAGCAGAAGAGGCAGGAGGAGAAGGAGGAGCAGAAGAGGGAGGAGGCTAGGAAGGCGGAACGCGAAAAGGAGGAGAAGCGGCAGAAGGAGGAGGAGGAGCGGAAGAGGGAGGAGGCGAGGAAGGCGGAACGCGAAAAGGAGGAGAAGCGGCAGAAGGAGGAGGAGGAGCGGAAGAGGGAGGAGGCGAGGAAGGCGGAACGCGAAAAGGAGCAGAAGAGGCAGGAGGAGGAGGAGCGGAAGAGGGAGGAGGCGAGGAAGGCGGAACGCGAAAAGGAGGAGAAGCGGCAGAAGGAGGAGGAGGAGCGGAAGAGGGAGGAGGCGAGGAAGGCGGAACGCGAAAAGGAGGAGAAGCGGCAGAAGGAGGATGAGGAAGAGCGGAAGAGAGAGGAGGCGAGGAAGGCGGAACGCGAAAAGGAGCAGAAGAGGCAGGAGGAGGAGCAGAAGAGGGAGGAGGCTAGGAAGGCGGAACGCGAAAAAGAGGAGAAGCGGCAGAAGGATAAGGAGCGGAAGAGGGAGGAGGCGAGGAAGGCGGAACGCGAAAAGGAGGAGAAGCGGCAGAAGGAGGAGGAGGAGCGGAAGAGGGAGGAGGCGAGGAAGGCGGAACGCGAAAAGGAGCAGAAGAGGGAGGAGGAGGAGGATCAGAAGAAGGAGGAGGCTAGGAAGGCGGAACGCGAAAAAGAGGAGAAGCGGCAGAAGGATGAGGAGGAGCGGAAGACGGAGGAGGCGAGGAAGGCTGAACGCGAAAAGGAGCAGAAGCGGCAGGAGGATGAGGAGGAGCGGAAGAGGGAGGAGGCGAGGAAGGCGGAACGCGAAAAGGAGCAGAAGAGGCAGGAGGAGGAGGAGCGGAAGAGGGAGGAGGCGAGGAAGGCGGAACGCGAAAAGGAGGAGAAGCGGCAGAAGGAGGAGGAGGAGCGGAAGAGGGAGGAGGCAAGGAATGCGGAACGCGAAAAGGAGGAGAAGCGGAAGAGGGATGAGGAGGAGCGGAAGAGGGAGGAGGCGAGGAAGGCGGAACGCGAAAAGGCGGGGAAGATTGTGGAGGCCAACGAGCGAGAAACGCGCGAGGAGGCGAGGGTGGAGGAGCGAGAGCGACAGAGGCAGGTCGGTGAGACCGGGGAACGAGAATCGCGTGAAAGGGAGGAAGCGCGGCAGAGGCAGGATCGGGAACGAAAGAGAACTGAAAGCGAACGCAGAAGAAAAGAGCTTCAGAGGCTCGAGCGCGAAAGGTTTGTGGCGAGGCAGACGGAGCAAGCGGGTGTGCATCAGGGTGTGGAGCGTCCGAGGGATCGACCTGTAGAGAACGAGCGCCGTGGGATGGGGGGCGCTACACAGAGGCAGGAAAGGCAGAGGGAGGTTGCTGGGTTGAATGAGCAAGGTGCTGGGGGGCAGCGGCGTGTGGCTGAGGGCCAGAGGGGCGCGAGGTTCTTCCCAATGCAGTTGGGGCGGGATGTAGGGGATGGAGCTCGGCAAGTGGTGGTTGGCGACCAGCCAACCCTGGGGCATCACGGAACAACTGTTGGTCGGGCAGCGGATGTTGGTTTACCGGGATTGAGAACAGGCGGACCGAGGCCGATGATGCAGCGGGAAGGTGGCCGGCGTGATGATCAAACAGCCCGGAACAGGGTCGGCGCGGGAGACCATAGGAGGTTCGATCAGTCAAGGCAAGCTGGTAGGCGAGAGGGTGAAGCGATTGGAACGCGGCAGGGTGAGCGAATGGCGGAGGATCAGGTCTGGCGTGGGGTGGGATGGGGAATGGAAGGAGTGCGACACAGGGAGTTTCAGCAGAGAGAGGCGGGAGGACGTGCGGACGAGGAACTAGAGAGTGTGGCTAGTGCGCTCCCCATGCAGAGGCGGCATCCACGAGCGGCAGAGAATTCTGCTGCGGTGCAGGGAGAGGAACTAGAGGATGGTGAATGGGTGGCTGTGGAGGCGCTACTGGCGGGACTGGAGCAAGCAGGGCCGCAGGTTTTCGAGGAGACGGAGCGAGGATTTGAGGAGGCTGGCGACCGCATCGCAGCTGGCGGCAGGATGCATACCACAGCAGAGTTGATGCGGCGTCTGACCTTGGTGGCAAGGTCCGTGGCGAGGGCTTCGTCGGAGCAATGTGTTCGTTTCATCGACTGCATGGCAGAGATTCGAGAATTTGGTACGTAGATGCAAGCCTTGGACAGCCGCTACTTCCAGGACTACGATGATCTAACACACGAGTACCACGAGCTCAAGGCCGGGGTGGTCCGGGAACGCGACGAGCTAACCCAATTGCGTACTGCTCTTTCGGCTTCTGTCGCCGAAGCACGAGCGGCAGCAGCTGATGCGGGTCGCGCAGCTGCAGCAGCGGCTGTGGAAGCATTGGAGGAAAGGTTACATGGGTTTTTCGAGAACTTACGGGAGAAGCTGAAGAGTGTGGTGGAGCAGGTGATAGAGCAATCGTCGCTAGAGGCCTCGTTCACATCCACCTCCATGGAACACCTGCAAGCGGCTATTGACAATAGTGTACTCGCAGTGTGGGAGGATCTCAGGGCTGCGGACGACCAAAACAATCTGACTTTCAACAAGATTCAGAAGGCTCTGGCAGGACTGTCAACAAAGCTCAAAGGGCTGACTGGACCCAGCAAGGTCCGAAAGCCACCCACCGCCAGGGGAGAGGCCACACCAAAGGCTTCGCGAAAGCAGCCCGAAGCAGATTCCCCAGACATCCCAATCTCCTCAGCACAACGAGTCATTGAAAGGTTTGCCGCAACGTCCGAGGGTGAGGAGGGTGACGCTGGTGAGGCGGGTGAGACGGGCGCTGGTGTGGCAGATATTGACTTGTCTGAACCAGTGAGGAGAAACTGGAGAGAGACGTACGCAGCAAAGAACGTGCAGAAAGAGAGGGAGAAGGAGAGCGAAGAGAGGAGGACGGCTGAAGCGCGGAAGCGGCAAGCACTTCAGACGGCGCAAGTGACGGCTGCAAAGAAGAGGCGGGCTGAGAAGGGGTTGGGAAATACGAGGGTGGAGGACCGTCCTGGGACTGTCAGCAGGGGGAGAGTGACGGAAAACCAACCGGCGGGTACAGCTGCAGAGGCAAGGAAGGCAGAACGCGAAAAGGAGCAGAAGCGGCAGGAGGAGGAGCGGAAGAGGGAGGAGGCAAGGAAGGTAGAACACGAAAAGGAGCAGAAGAGGCGAAAGGATGAGGAGGAGCGGAAGAGGGAGGAGGCAAGGAAAGCGGAACGCGAAAAGGAGTTGAAGCGGCAGAAGGATGAGGAGGCGCGGAAGAGGGAGGAGGCGAGGAAGGCGGAACGCGAAAAGGAGGAGAAGCGGCAGGAGGTGGAGGAGCGGAAAAGGGAGGAGGCGAGGAAAGCGGAACGCGAAAAGGAGTTGAAGCGGCAGAAGGATGAGGAGGCGCGGAAGAGGGAGGAGGCGCGGAAGGCAGAACTCGAAAAGGAGCAGAAGCGGCAGGAGGAGGAGGAGCGAAAGAGGGAGGAGGCGAGGAAGGCAGAACGCGAAAAGGAGGAGAAGCGGCAGAAGGAGGAGGAGCGGAAGAGGGAGGAGGCGAGGAAGGCGGAACGCGAAAAGGAGGAGAAGCGGCAGAAGGAGGAGGAGGAGCGGAAGAGGGAGGAGGCGAGGAAGGCGGAACGCGAAAAGGAGGAGAAGCGGCAGAAGGAGGAGGAGGAGCGGAAGAGGGAGGAGGCGAGGAAGGCGGAACGCGAAAAGGAGTTGAAGCGGCAGAAGGATGAGGAGGCGCGGAAGAGGGAGGAGGCGCGGAAGGCAGAACTCGAAAAGGAGCAGAAGCGGCAGGAGGAGGAGGAGCGGAAGAGGGAGGAGGCGAGGAAGGCGGAACGCGAAAAGGAGGAGAAGCGGCAGAAGGAGGAGGAGGAGCGGAAGAGGGAGGAGGCGAGGAAGGCGGAACGCGAAAAGGAGGAGAAGCGGCAGAAGGAGGAGGAGGAGGAGCGGAAGAGGGAGGAGGCGAGGAAGGCGGAACGCGAAAAGGAGGAGAAGCGGCAGAAGGAGGAGCGAAAGAGGGAGGAGGCGAGGAAGGCGGAACGCGAAAAGGAGGAGAAGCGGCAGAAGGAGGAAGAAGAGCGGAAGCGGGAGGAGTCGAGGAAGGCGGAACGCGAAAAGGAGGAGAAGCGGCAGAAGGAGGAGGAGGAGCGGAAGAGGGAGGAGGCGAGGAAGGCGGAACGCGAAAAGGAGGAGAAGCGGCAGAAGGAGGAGGAGGAGCGGAAGAGGGAGGAGACGAGAAAGGCGGAACGCGAAAAGGAGGAGAAGCGGCAGAAGGAGGAGGAGGAGCGGAAGAGGGAGGAGGCGAGGAAGGCGGAACGCGAAAAGGAGGAGAAGCGGCAGAAGGAGGAGGAGGAGCGGAAGAGGGAGGAGGAGGAGCGAAAGATGGAGGAGGCGAGGAAGGCGGAACGCGAAAAGGAGGAGAAGCGGCAGAAGGAGGAGGAGGAGCGGAAGAGGGAGGAGGCGAGGAAGGCGGAACGCGAAAAGGAGGAGAAGCGGCAGAAGGAGGAGGAGGAGCGGAAGAGGGAGGAGGCGAGGAAGGCGGAACGCGAAAAGGAGGAGAAGCGGCAGAAGGAGGAGGAGGCGAAGGCGATGGAAAGGAGGCGGTCACAGAGGGAGGCGGAGTTAGAAGCTAAGCGCCAGCAGATTGCTAAGATTGCGGAAACAAAGCGGTTGGAGGCAGCAAAGCGAAAAAGAGACCTCGAAATAGAGCGTCGGAAAGCCCTGGAGGAGATCGAGCGTATTGCACGGTTAGAGGAAGCCGCAAAGGAGGAAGAGGAGAGGCAACAAATGGAGTTAGAGGCGGAAACAGAGAAATTGGAAAACGAGAGGCGACGGATTGCGGGGGAGGATGAGGAAGGGGCAGCGGGGCAACGGCAGGGAGGAGAGGCGGAAGAAGGGTGGGCCGGGATTCTTCAAGTGATTTCATTGGTTCCCGATGAACCACTGCAAGTAGTTGACCTCATGGGGGAGGTGGAGGGTTCGGAACATGTGACAGGCTCTGTAGGTCTAGAGACTCAACCGCCTTTGAAGAGGCTTCGCATTGACCAGACCGGAACGAACTTCGACGCGGATGAGGGGTCTTTGGGGGCTGCTGCGTCAGAGGAATATGTCGGTGAAAATGTGTCGGGAAATCAGAACGTTCAACCAACGTTGGGGGAGGCGACGGGAGAGGTGGCACCGCGAAGAGCGGATGTGCTACCAGACGAGCTAGGGAAGCGGTGGGGGGAAACAAAGCATTTCAGATCGAGTGGTCTTACCACACGCGAGAAGAAGAACAAAAAGGGGGAAGTGGTGTACGTGCGCTACAACTCGGAGCAAACCGTCGGAGGTGTGAAGAGGAACATGGGGAGCTACAAGGAGCGGAAACTACGCGATTTCACAGTGGAGGTCTGTTGGATGGCCTACTTCCCCGACACCGACATGGCCCATTACGGCTTGGATCCTGCCGAGCTTGGCTTGTGGGCGGTCCACCTCGATTTCGCTCGTGAACTCCCGACGGGTGTCTGGAGTGTCATGAACGAATTGAACCTCGACAAGTTCGAGAAGTAAGTACTCGATTCGGATTAGCTAGATCTAGTACACTTTCCCGTTTTGCCTTACTAACCGTGTACCCACCTCGCCTGTGCAGCTTCGAAAACGTCATGAACAAGACAAATGCACGGGTGAAGGACGGCGCACATTTCCAGGTGGCCGTTTGCACAGGGATTGGACAGGCCCTGGTACACGGAGGGAGTGGGCTGGTGTCGCCCCCCGCGAATGTCACTCCCGCGGTCTATGCAGCGGGAGTAGCTGCAACCCTCTACACCTTGTGGTGTGCCTCGATCGGCATTCCCCACCAGGACTGGGCGGAGGGTGCGGATGAGGCGGCTCGTGGCACGCTCAACGAGGCAAGCCTTGCTAGTCGAGCAACCTCTACTGCTCGCCTCGGAGTGTGGACCTTGAAGGCCGTGAAGAACCTAACGCACGAGAAGGCGGATTGGGAAGTGGTGCTCACCAAGGCCATTCTCGGCCTTGTGGATCCCGAGCCCGGGGAGGCAGAGGCTATTGAAATGGCCAAGGTGGTTTCGAGGGTGCTGGTGTACTGGTGCGAGTGCTGTCACGCAAACCAGAGTCTTTACGCGTATCAGGGTGGGATGCTCCATTTTCCCCAGCCCACAAAAGGGGGACGGCGGAAGGGGAATGCGGGAGGCAACGAGTGATGCAGGATGGGGAGGGTAATTTCGAGTTTGCAGCAGCTCTGTACTATAGTCTGCTGAATGTTGTAGTTTTTGAGTTTTCATTGATTTGAACTTGGATCTGTTACATGCATTGTTTGACTCGAAAGCATGGCGTGAATAAGGACTTGAATGCTGTAGGGTTAGATCTCTGAACCACGGTGTTTCCTTAATTGCTTTTGAGGCTTTGTTTTCAAGTAACTAGCGTACTTAGGATTTCGATCGTGAACTTAACGCGTGACGAGAGTGCAACCCTCTTGCTTCGGATTAGTCTGTGGCATGCTTTGATATTCGACACATTCCCATGTTTTCGAGACATTCCCATGCTTAACATTGACGTTCCAATGACTAGTGTTACTCTAAAGGAGGATTTAGAATCTAGAACAGAAGAGAGGGAGGGCATCAAAGTGTCAAACATTGTATATGTTATATTTGTGTAGGCTGTAGTGGGTTAGCCTATAGGGGGGTCACAACATTAGGGTTTCATATTTGTACTCACAGTCCTTTCTAGTTCATCATTCCAGTCTGTTGTTCCGACATGGTTTCAGAGCAGGTCCTTCGCTAGGACCGTTTTTTTTTTAAGGGCCCACCGCTACCTAACTCCCTACCTACCTACCTACCTAGGGCGCCTCGACTTTTTTTTCGGCCCCTAAGCACTAGCGACCCGCGACCCGCCCCTTAAGGCCCCGTCGCGCCGCCCCTTAAGCCCCGTCGGCCCCGCGTTCGCCCCTTACGGCCCCGCCGCGCCGCCCCTTAAGGCCTCGCTACGGCCCCGCGCTCGCCCCTTACGGCCCCGCGCACCGCCCCTTACGGCCCCGCGCACCGCCCCTTACGGCCCCGCGCACCGCCTCGTACGGCCCCGTCGGCCCCGCGATCGACCCGCCGCTCGCCCCTTAGCGACCTAGTCGGCCCCGCGATCGCCCCTTCAGGCCCGCTGCCGCCCCGTGCACCGCTTACGCAGCCCGCGCTAAGCCCGTGCAACCTGCGCACCGCCTGCGCACCGCCCGCGCACTGCCCGCGCACCGCTCGCGCCCCACTTCGCGGCCCCGCGGCCCCGTCGCCTACTCACGCACGCCCCGCTGCCCGCAGCCGCTCGTACGCCGCTGCTTCCGCTGCTGCTTGCGCACCGCTGCCTCCCGAGCGCCGCCGCTGCTCGTGCGCCGCCGCTGCCCCTACGCTCCCGCTGCCAGTGCGCCGCCGCTGCCCGTGCGCCGCTGCCGCCTGTGCGCTTCTGCAGCCGCCGCCCGCGAGGCACTCACTCTCACAGTTTTTATTTTCTACCTACCGCGCACACTGCTGCCACTGCAGCTGCCACCAGTGCGCCGTTGCAGCTCCTGCTGCCACGCTACCTACTACTGCCGCTCGTGTGCCACTACGGACAGTCGACCCCGCCCGCGCCTTACCTAGCGGCCCCGCCGGCCCCGTTGACCCTCCGCACACCTTTCCAGCGGCCTGATTCCTACTACTACTGTTACTACTGCTACTGCTACTGTCACTATGGCTAGTCCTCCCGTTCTAGCTTTCGATGCCGAGGGCCGTCCAGTGAAGTTCGAAACCTGGCTAGATGACCTGCACCTGTTCCTACAGCTCACTGCCAAGGAAGATATCTCACTGTACGACCACGCCCTAGGCCATGCCACTGCCCCTGACTCGTCTGCTGACAGCACTCTGCGTTCCCAGTGGCAGACCCGTGATGCGCACGCTCGCTTTGCTATTCGCAACTCCCTGCCGCTAGACGAGCGCGAGCACTTCGGCCAGTGCAAGACTGCTAAGGACCTCTACACAGCTGTAGTTGCCCGCTACTCCTCACCCGCTTCTGCCACGCTAGGCCGCCTCACTCTCCCCTACCTGTTCCCCGACCTAGCCTCCTTTCACACTGTCGCAGACCTCATCACCCACCTTAAGACTAGTGAGGCCCGCTTTCGCGCTGCTATGCCTGCCGAGTTTCTCACTAGCAACCCCCCCCCGCTCTGGATCACTCTCTACCACATCGTCACTCGCCTCCCTGACTCTCTACGCGCAGTCAGGGACCATTTCCTCTCTCGCTCCCCCACTGAGCTCACTGTTGCCCTCCTCGAGAAGGAACTGCTTGCAGCTGAGGCGAGTATCGTCGCTGTAGGCACCTCTCGTGGCGACCCCCGCACCCCGTTCTTTGAGGGGTGTTCCCCTTCCCCCCTCCTCCCCTCTGTCGCCTCTGCTGCTGCTGTCGACCTCCTTGGTGCTGAGAAGGTCGGGACCGCGTCTGCTTCGAGCGGGCGCCGCAGGAACAAGGGAGGCAGGGGTGGGGGTGGCGGCGGAGGAGGTGGGGGTGGAGGCGGTGGGAGTGGAGGCGCGGCTGAGGAGGCCAGTGGCGGCAGTGGGGGAGGAGACAGCAGCGGCGGGAGTGGTGGCAGGGGCGGAGGCGGCAGCGGGGGCGGAGGTGGTCGTGGTGGCGGCAGGGGTGGAGGTGGCCGGGGCGGAGGCGGTGGGGGTGGTGGTCGTGGAGGCACTGGCGGAGGGCAGAGTCAGCAGCCCGCCCCGACGCTTCAGGCCGCCCGTGAGTGGTATGCGCAGCGTGGCTTTACCTGCACGTACGTCATTCGCACAGGTGACCGCAGCGGCCAGCAGTGTGGGAGGCCGCACCCCACGCAGCGCTGCTTCGCGCGCCTTAACGACGCGTGGCGCACCCAGTTTCCTGCTGCCACTGAGCTGCCGCGCTGGGCTGACCTGGAAAAGAGGGGTGTTGATATTTGGGCTCTAGACTTTGATGCTATTCTCACTGCCATGTATGCGATGTCTATTAGTGGAGAGGGTGCTCAGTACTTGCGTGTTCCGCCCGACCCGGGCATTCAGGCCAGTCCGGCCGCCGCTCTAGGTGCTCGTGCGTCCGCTCCCACAGGTCCTGGTGAGGCTGCTGCCCTAGGTGCTAGTGCGTCTGTGCCCCCTGGTACTGAGTCGACTGCAGCACTGCACACCTTCACCCTGGACTCAGGTGCTTCTCGCTCTTTCTTTCGTGACCGTACTGTCCTTGAGCCACTCGCTCGGCCAGTTGCTGTCTCCCTTGCTGACCCCTCTGGGGGTCCGGTCATTGCGACCTCCTCCACTGTCCTTCCTTGTCTTGCGGTCCCGTCCGGCACGCTGTCAGGTCTCTACCTCCCCTCGTTCTCTACGAACTTGGTGGCGGGTTGTGCGCTCCAGGACTCGGGTGTTCACCAGTTCACCCCTGCCTACGAACGCGTGACACACTGCACGTGTGCTCGGACGGGTCGCCACCTGGCTACTTTCACTCGAGAGCCGGGGTCGGACCTGTACACACTGACCACTGAGTCCCCTCAGGTAGCTGCGTCTGCGTCTACGTCTGCGTCTGCGTCAGGTCAGCTGTCCGCCCCCTGCTCGTGTCGCTCTCTGGCGCATGAGACTGTCCTTTGGCACCACCGCCTTGGTCACCCGTCTGTGCAGCGCCTTCGGGCCATGCACAAACGGGACCTTGTTGCTGGTCTTCCCAGGGTGCTCCCTCCCCTTCCCGACTCGCCTGCTCCTCCCTGTCTTCCCTGTGTCGAGGGGCGGCAGCGCGCCGCTCCTCACTCCTCCTCCTTTCCCCCGACGACTGCTCCTTTGCAGACGCTCCACATGGACGTGTGGGGCCCAGCCCGCGTCCGTGGTCAGGGTCAGGAGAGGTACTTCCTGATTGTTGTTGACGACTTCTCGCGCTACACCACGGTCTTCCCCTTGTGCACCAAGGGTGACGTCCCTGATGTCTTGATCCCTTGGATCCGCAGATCTCGTCTCCAACTCAGTGAGCGTTTCCGCTCCGACTTCCCTGTCCTGCGTCTGCACTCTGACAGAGGTGGAGAGTTTTCCTCTGGCCTCTTGGAGGCCTTCTGTCAGCAGGAGGGCATTGAGCAGTCGTTCACGCTTCCGGCCTCTCCACAGCAGAATGGGGTTGCTGAGCGCCGCATTGGCTTGGTCATGGAGGTCGCTCGTACCTCCTTGGTTCATGCGGCTGCCCCCCACTTTCTGTGGCCGTTTGCAGTCCGATACGCTGCGCATCAGCTCAACCTCTGGCCCCGTGTCTCCTTGCCCGAGACTTCTCCGACACTGCGTTGGACGGGAGAGGCCGGCGATGCGTCGCGTTTTCGGGTCTGGGGATCCCGAGCTTTTGTCCGCGACACGTCCGCGGACAAGCTCTCCCGTCGCGCTGTCCCCTGCGTCTTCCTTGGCTTTGTCCCGGACGCCCCTGGTTGGCAGTTCTACCACCCCACCTCGCGGCGTGTCCTGGCCTCTCAGGACGTCACTTTTGACGAGTCCGTCCCCTACTACCACCTCTTCCCCTACCGCACTGCCCCGCTCCCCCCCCCGCCTCTCTTCCTCGCTCCAGGTGCAGAGGTACCAGACCCCCTCCCCCCTCAGGGTGCCGCTCCCTTAGGTGTGTCCCAGGTAGACCCGGGTGAGCCTGTCGAGGTAGCTGTTGACTCTCGTCCTGCGTCTAGGGGTGCTGAGCCTGGGGGTGCTGAGTCTGGGGGTGCTGAGCCTGGGGGTGTTGAGCCTGGAGGTGCGGAGCCTGGGGGTGTTGAGCTTGGAGGTGCGGAGCCTGGGGGTGTTGAGCCTGGAGGTGCGGACCCTGGAGGTGTGGAGCCTGGAGGTGCTGAGCCTGGGGGTGCGGAGTCTGGGGGTGCTGAGTCTGGGGGTACTGAGACTGAGCGTGCTACACCTGGAGGAGCCCTCTCCTCCCAGCAGCTGCAGGAGAGGTACCTCGAGTACTGCCGCCTCCGGAGAGGTGCTGCTGGAGCTCGTCCCAGTACTTCCCCTCCTACCCAGGAGCTCCCCCCCATTCAGCAGATCCGAGAGTGGTACACGCGACGCTGCAGTCTTCGGAGTGGTGCTCCGGGTGCTGCGGACCCTGGGGGTAGCACTGCTGCTGGTACTGAGGACCCGGGCGTTGGAGCTGCTGCTGGTGCTGGGGACCCGGGCGTTGGAGCTGCTACTGGTGCTGAGGACCCGAGCGG